AGGAGATGAGGATGTCATCACTCTTAGGCGTGGTTAAATTGCTTGAATGCCAATACGCGTACACAGTGTCCCGTAATTGTTAGCGAGTAATGATGCGGCGACTTGTGCACGATGTGTAACGGGGCACCCTGAAGCTTGTACTGGTGACAGTACAAGCTACTTATTCTGATAACAGAATAAGGCGGTGCCTCGTAACTTCACGTACACTCGTACGTGCAGAGGAAGACGGTAAGAAGAAGCGAGTACTTGGTTAGAGTAAAAAGTAGAACTGTATTTATAATAGTTAATGTCTGCAATAAATCACTATTTATCTTCATCTAACTATGTCTAAATACAAATGTGTAAATCAGTTATCTGCTCACCACTCATTGCGTGCGTCTGTCGTGGCGCGTCTTCGTTGGTTGTTATAATGGCCTATATCAACCAATTAGGAACTACTTGGAAGTGCTACAGAATATTGTCCTTATGACAATATTCTGAGAATATAACTCTTATAGTTATATTCTATTAACAATTTCTTATAAATTGTTATGTAACGATTCACCCCGTTACATCACCCCCCCTAACCATCAGTCACTTTAGTGACTGATTGACTAAATGGATACTCGTCCCAAATCATTTGGGACGGGGTTTGCACTTGTTGGTCCGCGTCCACTTTCCAACATCTCATCGCATGGTAAACAAGCCCATGCGATGCGCGAGCAAGGCCGCCGAGAGCGCGTCTGCACGTCTCTGTGCGGACGCCGAAGCAGAAACTACAGCAACTGATGTCCCATCGGTTGCTGAATCGACTCAGCCTGTATCACCTGGTGATGCAGGCGCTGGTCATGAAGACACTCGTGTCTTCACAGAGTACGAGCTCGGTGTCTCGTACTCTCCTGATACGGATGACGGATCCGTATCGACGGCAATTGAATCCAAGCCGCCTGCCAAGCGTGGCATGGACGATGCTTTGCGTCGCAGCATCTTTGGTTCATCTGATGAGTCAGATGAACCATCGCCGAAGCGAAGGCGCTCGAGGTCGCGAGACTCGGGCGCTAATAGTGGTGTCGTTTCTCCAATGGACACCACTTCACAGCGAGGTGCCAGTACTTCTGTCGGCACGTCGCAGGAAGAGCGGGACCGCAATGTCTTGCGTCTCGCTCCAGAAAAGAAGGCATGGATGCCTCCTAAATTCTGTCATGGATCACTTGTCGGCGACGACGAGTGATCGTTATCGAACACGATTGTTCGATTCGTCAAGGATTCATCACCTTGACCCCAGCGCGAAAGACTATCGCGCTGAACATGAGTTCTTCATCGATGCTTTCTTCAGACATCGATGGTACAGTGGGAATCACAAACGTGATGGTCCCTCACTACTTCAGGCGTGGAACGCCTACATCCATAATCTCGAGGATGTAGGTCGTGACGCTTGGAACGACAAACTTATCAAAGCTCGTGATAAGTTTGAAAAGCGAACCCCGACAGGTGCACGCTATAAGCTGCATCGTCTGTCAAGGGAGAAAGGATTACCCTGCCTCTCTTGGGGAGACTCGTGCCCATGTTGTGTGAACAACTCTGCACGAGCACCTAAGGAGGCTTACCTCCTTACCAGCCCGTGGTGGCGCGTACGTGTCTCTACTGAGATGTACGAAGGGATTGACAACCTGAAATCCCTTTACGACCGTGCCGGGAAGACTTTCTCCGGCGGTCCTTCTGCGGCACAGGATGTGTCGCGTCGTACTGCTCGACCAGACCCAGTACGTCAACCATCAATTGGGAGCGGGCTCCCAAGAATCCCAGGACGGGGGATAGCCGCGCCACCGGACGAGGTAACTCGTCCGACGTCCGTTCACGTCGCGGTGGTTCAACAGCTGCTCTACTAGATAGCGCTGGCCACCGCGAGAGTCCTCTAATGGAGGTGGAGGAGGAGGAAAGACGCTCTCCACACGATCATGTGGATCGGTGTGTTCCCGAGAGCTTCTTTGATCGCGTAACGCAAGGGTTACGCGACGATCTCGAGCATGAGCGGAATAGGCGTCTCCAGATGGTGGACACTGCCTCGAAGCATCGAGCTGAGTTTGCCTTTGCTCAGCTTGAGAACGAGAGATCTCTGACATCTCTTCGTGACGAGCTAAGGGTAGCTCGTGGGATTGTTGATCGGTCTCGGGCTGAGATAACTGCTCTTCAGACCCTTGTTGATGCCCACCATCGGGAGCACAAGGCTCTCTGCGAGATGCTTGAGCGCAAGGGCGTTCTTCATCGGAAGAAGCAGCGTACTGATGGTACGGCTTAAGCCGACCAACGTAAAACGTGGGATGCGTTCGCATCTTACGTGGTAACTCGATCGTGTATGCATTGCCTAGGCGGTGCAATACACGAAATGGGCCAATGTACTTGGGTAGTAGTTTACTGCTACCCAAGTTAGTCACTACATGTTTTGGTAGATTAACCGTAGACAGTAGGACTAAGTCACCTTTATTAAATAAAAGAGTGTTTGCCCTTCCAGTCTTGTCAGCGTTTTGCTTTTTGCTTATCCACCGCTTCGGCGATGGAGTCTTGCACAAAACGGACTACCGTTTCACGAGCCAGTATGAACTCATCTGATGACTCGTTAGCTTCAGTGTGCTGTGAGCGCACTGCAGCGACAACAACCTTTTCTTCAGTGAGGGCTTCCGCACTCTCACTGGGATCATTGTCTTCAGTGAGGGCTTCCGCACTCTCACTGGCATCATCTTCTTCGATATCGATGTTATCGATATCGGCATCAAACGCAATGACTTCTTCGTCAGAGCGTGATGAGCGTGAACCAAATCGGTTTTTGCTCGCGCGAGTCCCTCCCCCCCTTAAACCAGAGTTACACTCTAGTAAGGTGGGTACACGCGGATGGCGCAAGCCATTCACGTAAAACGGTGTATGTGTCGTGGACGCATGCACCGAGTTGTTGATGGCAAACTCTACCATCGGCAAAAACTCACTCCAACTCTTAAAGGAGTGTACGTATCCTCGAAGTATCTCTTCAAGGACACGATTGGCACGTTCCGTCTGACCATCTGACTCTGGATGATCAGATGTTGACATCTTCAAGCGCGTTCCGAGTGATTTGAACACGGAACGCCAGAAATCAGCAGTGAATCGTGGATCTCTGTCTGATACGAGTTCACGGGGCAACCCATGAAGTCGGAAGATGGTGTCAATAAAGACACAAGCACAGCCACTTGCCGTGATTGTCTCTGGTACAGCCACAAGGTGTACCATTTTGCTGAATCTGTCAACAAATACGAGAATACCCGTATTCCCGCGTGCGTCTTTGGGTAACCCGAAGACGAAATCCATTGAGATGGATTCCCAGCACTCAGCCGGAACCGGTAGAGGCTGTAAAGGTGCACGCAGTGAAGGACTTGACTTCACTCGTTGGCAAACTTCGCATGCGCGAACATACTTTCGCACAAACTGATACTGGCGGGGCCAGTAAAAGTCTCGACTTACCGTGAGATATGTTTTCTCTCGGCCACGATGTCCTCCTATAGGAGCATCGTGATACTCGAACATGATCCGCAAACGCAGATCAGTATCATCTGGAATGACAACACGTGGTGTGTCACCAGAAACGGCTGTATAGTACAGTAAACCGTTACGAGTAGTGTATCAATCTGATGCAGATCGATACGCAGACGACAATCGTTTCAACGATTCTCGAGATGGTTGGGAGAGATGTGACAACAACTTCACTATCTCACCATCTTGGGCGTATGCCCGCCTCACATCATCATACAACGTTGTAGATGGAACTGAGGACGTCATAACCGCAACAGTGACTGTCTCACTGTTGGGTTTCGCGACTGTTTCAAAGTCGGGACGACGTGAGAGTGCATCAGCGACGACATTAAGTCGTCCTGGTTTGTACTCGACCGTAAAGTGGTATTCTGCAAAGAATGACAACCACCGCGCCATTCGTTGTGAAAGGTGCGGGCTGTTCACTGCCGTGCGTAAGGACGCATGGTCAGTGTAAACAACGAAGGGTCTATCTCCTAATAGATAGACTCTGAACTTCGCGAGTGCATACTTCATGGCAAGGAGTTCCTTGTCATGCACTGGATAGTTCCGCTCAGCTGGTTGCAGCTGACGCGACTGATAGCAGACGACGCGTTCAACGCCTTCAAGGTCGTACTGCATTAATGCACAGCCGATTGCGAAATCGCTGGCATCACAGACCACATGAAATGGCCTGTCCTGATCGGCTATTGCTAGGACTGGGGATTGTATCAAGCTCTGCTTGATACCCTCAAAGGAGCGTTGACATTCAGCGTTCCATAACCACCTCTCGTTCTTTTTCAACAAACGAGAGAGGTGTACAGTCATCTCGGCGTAATTGCGTGAATACTTATGCAAATACGCCGCTAGCTCAAGGAATTTTCGAAGACCTTTGACATCGACCGGCACAGGCCAGTCGGTGATCGCCTTGATCTTTTTCGGGATCAGGACGTACACCGTTCTTACCAACGATGCACCCAAGAAGTGGTATTTCGCTTGCTGCAAATATACACTTCTTGAGGTTTGCATACAATTGATGCTTTCGCATGATTGTAAGAACCTGTCGGACGTGGTACCTGTGAACCTCAACGTCCGACTTTCCATCCATAGCTCGACTATGGATGAATACGTCATCGAAATAACTCGGCGCGAATTCTCGTACTGGCCTCAACAGATGTGATACACACCTGTTGAACGTGGCAGGGGCATTACTGAGCCCTTGTGGCATTACTAGCCATTCCCAGAGCATGCCGCTAGGCGTGCTAACTGCGGTATAGGGTATATCCCGTTCCCGCATTAGGATTTGATAGAAGCCATCCATCAAATCCATGGACGAAAAGATGGTACTCTTTGACATACCATCAATGATTACGTCCTTCCTCGGTATCGGCGTCTGAGCCGGTACCGTTGCAGCGTTCAATTTGTTAAACGCGTGCACTATCCGCCACCCTCCTGTTGCTTTTCGCACACAGAAGGTCGGAGAGCTATGTGGGGAAGTTGATTCCCTCACACTGGCCCGCTGCTAAACGATCGGCAAAGAACTTGTCGATCGCAAGTACTTGTTCACGAGGCAGTGGCCACTGCTTCATGACACAGTACTTCGAGCCTGGTTTAAGCTCGACTTCGTGTCGAATACCTTTATCCTTCGGTAATTCGCACGGAACAGTTTCAGGGAATACATCCTTGAATTCAACCAAATCTTCATAGAGAGGATTTTCCTTGAGCGATTCCCATGATTGGGACTCATATCGCTCAATTCGTGTCTTTTCATCTAGGACACTCTCGTCCATAGATGAACTACTGAGAACTCTCTCGTTCTCAGTAAACACTGTTGCTGACCTTATGTCGGTTACATACTCGTCGTCAGCGACGAGTATGCAGATCTGCTTGACTTTGCCACTACGCAGATCACGCAAGAACCTTTTATGTTCGAGCGTTGGCAACTGAGTGATCTCCGAAGTTAGCTTCGGAGGCGCAATCAGATCAAGTGTATAAGCGCCTACACATGATCCGTTATTGACTATGACATTCAATGTCTCTGTCATTTCCTGGGGACTTATTCCCTCAGGCTTCGAAGGACTTATTCCTTCGTCTTCCCGGGGACTTATTCCCGCGGGTTTCGGGAACTTATTTCCGCCGTATTTGTAATCTTGGGACTTATTCCCTTTACTTCCTCTAGCTGGGGTTGCGCAACCACAGCGAGATCCTCTACGAAAGACTCTCCAGTCGATCTAGGATTATCGTTTCGCTTAACCTGAGCGATCGATTGTTTCTCTTCTAGATGTTCCCCTCTAGGGATACATCTTTGTCCCAGTCCACCCGACTTATTCGAGTGGTGGACCTTCGGCGCAGCCTGTGTTTCCTCACAGCCGCCGGAACTTTGCTCCGAAGTGTAACCGTTTGGTACACTAAGGTTTTGTGCAGTCGTACTAACGACCGTACCACAAGTGAGGCCATCGCGCTCACTCGTAGTACATCCACACGCTTGTGGACGCTCCAAAACGTTCATCAGATGGCCATCTGATGAACAAGCGGCAGGCATCGTTACTGTCCGATGTTGCCAGTTTACCCGTGGTTCGTACCTTCTGAGCCACGGTATTCCAAGGATGACATCAAATTTGTCATCCAAATCCAATACGATAAAGTCATCGTCGTATTGGGTATCTTCTAGCGTATAGTGAATCTTCACTATACGCTTCATGACGGTTACGGATGCGCCTGTCGCAAGACGTACCGTCATCCTCGTAGGAGGTGTGTCACATTCACTGAATTTAAAGTGACCATCTTCTAGCGATTGGCGTCGCACAAAATTGTTGGACGCCCCACAATCGACTAGAGCTCGAAGGGACAACTTATTCGTCACTTCGAGTTTCAAGGTAATGAGTGAGATCTCATTACCTAGAGCAGCAACGCACAATGTCTGTGTGTTGGGAGCAACCTTCATCAAGAGGCCTACAAATTCTCTTGACGTTGCTGGATCAGTAGGGTGCTCCGCACCTACTGATCCTGTCCGTTTTTGACGGTCCATCCCGTTGTTGCGTCTTTGCACCAACTGCGGACCCTCGTCCCTGCCCCTTTCTCATGGGTGGACGGTCACTACGCCCAGTGTCGCGAGACACTGGACGAGGGCACTACACTCGTAAGCGTAGTGTCCTGTCTTTTGACATCTGTTGCATCTCTGCAACTTCTTGTAGCCTGTAGAGCGAGCCTTCTCGCTCTCTACATAACAGAGTTCCATCGGCTCTGGACCTCCGTTGTCATATCGTCTCGGTTGACGATATGATGTCGAGCTGGCGCGAGCCTGTCTCAGACTGAAGTCTTCCTGCTCCGCAATGGAAATGGCTTGTTCTAGTGAATCTAGTTCAAGCCGGAACAGGTGAGTCTTGACGGGACCATCCGCAAGACCCTGCATGAACACCGAAACCAACGTGTGTTCATCCACCGGATTGGAACTTATACAACTCGTGAGATGTCGTATATGTTGAGCGTAAGCGTGCACATCACGCTTACCCTGCTTGAGCTTCAAGAGTTCGGTTCGAGCTCTGAACTCAGCTCTAGGCGGTTCAAACGTTTGTCTGAGCCGCGACTTGAAGACTTCCAACGACCCAAACGCATATGGGTCGTGCAGCTTGAGCCCCAGTGCCCAAGTCTTGGCACGTCCTGCCAGATTTGACTGGGCAAATGCAACTTGCATATCCCCGTCGTCGATGCGACGCGCCCTTATGGCGTCATCCAATTCGACGAACCATCTCAAGAGGGAGTCTTCTTCGACCCCCCTATACTTTGAGATGTCAATCTTCAAAGTCTCGGGCCGACGCGAGTGCATCGACCCGCCAGCAGCAGCCTGCTGCTGTCTCAACAGTTCAAACTGCTGAGCACCTTGTTCTTTCAACAACTCTGCTTGTTGAGAACCTTGTTGGTGAAGCAAGGCTACTTTCTCGCGTTCGGCGTCAAGTTCATTTTGAATGAACTTGGCGATAGTAGCATGTTGGGCATCTCTATTGAGAGCCTCTAGCATGACGCTAACAGCATGGATGCCCATGGTCGAACCCATTCGTTCAACCGCATCCCATTCGACATCGCTCAAATGGGAGTAGCCGTCACGCGTAGCGTGAAAGCTTTGGTCATCTTCATCATCCAACATATTCATGTTGGATGTGAACGCGGTCCTTGGACGGACTACGAAGTGCTACCAGGTGTAACGGGGCACCCTGAAGCTTGTACTGGTGACAGTACAAGCTACTTATTCTGATAACAGAATAAGGCGGTGCCTCGTAACTTCACGTACACTCGTACGTGCAGAGGAAGACGGTAAGAAGAAGCGAGTACTTGGTTAGAGTAAAAGTAGAACTGTATTTATAATAGTTAATGTCTGCAATAAATCACTATTTATCTTCATCTAACTATGTCTAAATACAAATGTGTAAATCAGTTATCTGCTCACCACTCATTGCGTGCGTCTGTCGTGGCGCGTCTTCGTTGGTTGATATAATGGCCTATATCAACCAATTAGGGACTACTTGGAAGTGCTACAGAATATTGTCCTTATGACAATATTCTGAGAATATAACTCTTATAGTTATATTCTATTAACAATTTCTTATAAATTGTTATGTAACGATTCACCCCGTTACACGATGTATATTGCATATTTGTAACGGGGTGAATCGTTTCATAACAATTTATAAGAAATTGTTAGTAGAATATAACTATAAGAGTTATATTCTAAGAATATTGTCATGATGACAAATGTTCTATTGCACTTACGAGTCGTTCCTAATTGGTTGATATAGGCCATCACATCAACCAACGAAGACGCGCCACGACAGACGCACGCAATGAGTGGTGAGCAGATAGTTGATTTGCACATTTGTATTTAGACATAGTTAGATGAGGATAAACAGTGGTTTATTGCAGACATTAACTATTATAAATACAGTTCTACTTTTTACTTTAACTAAGTACTCGCTTCTTCTTACCGTCTTCCTCTGCACGTACGAGTGTACGTGAAGTTCCGAGGCACCGCCTTATTCTGTCATCAGAATAAGTAGCTTGTACTGTCACCAGTACAAGCTTCAGGGTGCCCCGTTACACCTGGTAGCACTTCGTAGTCCGTCCAAGGACCACGTTCACATCTAACATGAACAAGTTGGATGATGAAGATGACCAAAGCTTTCACGCTACGCGTGACGGCTACTCCCATTTGAGCGATGTCGAATGGGATGCGGTTGAACGGATGGGTTCAACCGTGGGCATCCATGCTGTTAGCGTCATGCTAGAGGCTCTCAATAGAGATGCCCAACATGCTACTATCGCCAAGTTCATTCAAAATGAACTTGACGCCGAACGCAAGAAAGTAGCCTTGCTTCACCTACAAGGTTCTCAACAAGCAGAGTTGTTGAGAGAACAGGGTGCTCAGCAGTTTGAACTGTTGAGACAGCAGCAGACTGCTGGTGGGTCGATGCATTCGCGTCAACTCGAGACCTTGAAGATTGACATCTCCAAGTATAGGGGAGGCGAAGAGGACTCCCTCTTGAGATGGTTCGTCGAATTGGATGACGCCATCAGGGCGCGTCGCATCGACGACGGGGATATGCAAGTTGCATTTGCCCAGTCAAATCTGGCAGGACGTGCCAAGACTTGGGCACTGGGGCTCAAGCTGCACGACCCATACGCGTTTGGGTCGTTGGAAGTCTTCAAGTCGCGGCTCAGACAAACGTTTGAACCGCCTAGAGCTGAGTTCAGAGCTCGAACCGAACTCTTGAAGCTCAAACAGGGTAAGCGTGAAGTGCACGCTTACGCGCAACATGTACGACATCTCACGAGTTGTATAAGTTCCAACCCGGTTGATGAACACACGTTGATTTCGGTGTTCATGCAGGGTCTTGCGGATGGTCCCGTCAAGACTCACCTGTTCCGACTTGAACTAGATTCACTAGAACAAGCCATTTCCATTGCGGAACAGGAAGACTTCAGTCTGAGACAGGCTCGCGCCAGCTCGACATCAGATCGTCCACCGAGACAATATGACAGCGAAGGTCCAGAGCCGATGGAACGCTGTTATGTAGAGAGCGAGAAGGCTCGCTCTACAGACTACAAAAGGTTGCAGAAATGCAACAGATGTCAAACGACAGGACACTACGCTTACGAGTGTAGTGCCCCTCGTCCAGTGTCTCGCGACACTGGGCGTAGTGACCGTCCACCCATGAGAAAGGGGCAGGGACGCGTGTCCGCTGTTGGTGCAAAGACGCAACAACGGGATGGAACGTCAAAAAACGGACAGGATCAGTAGGTGCGGAGCACCCTACTGGTCCAGCAACGTCAAGAGAATTTGTAGGCCTCTTGATGAAGGTTGCTCCCGACACACAAACGTTGTGCGTTGATGCTCTAGGTAATGAGATCTCACTCATTACCTGGAAACTCGAATTGACGAAAATAAGTTGTTCCTTCGAGCTCTAGTCGTTTGTGGGGCGTCCAACAATTTTGTGCGACGCCCCTCGCTAGAAGATGGTCACTTTAAGTTCAGTGAATGTGACACACCTCCTACGAGGATGACGGTACGTCTTGCGACAGGCGCATCCGTAATCGTCATGAAGCGTATAGTGAAGATCCACTATACGCTAGTAGATACCCTATATGACGATGACTTTATCGTATTGGAATTGGATGACAAATTTGATGTCATCCTTGGAATACCGTGGCTCAGAAGGTACGAACCACGGGTAAACTGGCAACATCGGACAGTAACGATGCCTGCCGCTTGTTCATCAGATGGCCATCTGATGAACGTTTTGGAGCGTCCACAAGCGTGTGGATGTACTACGAGTGAGTGTGATGGCCTCACTTGTGGTACGGTCGTTAGTACGACTGCACAAAACCTTAGTGTAACAAACGGTTACACTTCGGAGCAAAGTTCCGGCGGCTGTGAGGAAACACAGGCTGCGCCGAAGGTCCACCACTCGAATAAGTCGGGTGGACTGGGACAAAGATGTATCCCTAGCGGGGAACATCCAGAAGAGAAACAATCGATCGCTCAGGTTAAGCGAAACGATAATCCTAGATCGACGGAGAGTATTTCGTAGAGGACCTCGCTGTGGTTGCGCAACCACAGCTAGAGGAAGTTCAGGGAATTAGTCCCGATGTTACAGATACGGTGAAAACAAGTTCCTCGAAACCCGCGGGAATAAGTCTCCGGGAAGCCGAAGGAATAAGTCCTTCGAGGCATGAGGGAATAAGTCCCCAGGAAGTGACAGAGACATTGAACTTCATAGTCAATAACGTATCAAGTGTAGGCGCTTATACACTTGATCTGATTGCGCCTCCGAAGTTGACTTCGGAGATCACTCAGTTGCCAACGCTCGAAGATAAAAGGTTCTTGCGTGATCTGCGTAGTGGCAAAGTCAAGCAGATCTGCGTACCCGTCGCTGAAGACTAGTGTGTAGCCGACGTAAGATCAGCAACAATGTTTACTGAGAATGAGAGAGTTATCAGTAGTTCATCGATGGACGAGAGTGTCCTCGATGAAAAGACACGAGTTGAGCGATATGACTCTCAATCGTGGAAATCGCTCAAGACAAATCCTGTTTATAAAGATTTGGCTGAATCCAAGGATGTATTCCCTATAACTGTTCCTTGCGAGTTACCGAAGGATAAAGGTACTCGACACGAGGTCGAGCTTAAACCAGGCTTGAAGTACTGTGTCATGAAGCAGTGGCCACTGCCTCGTGAACAAGTACTTGCGATCGACAAGTTCTTTGCCGATCGTTTAGCTGCGGGCCATGTGAGGGAATCAACTTCCCCACATAGCTCTCCGACCTTCTGTGTGCGAAAGGCAACAGGAGGATGGCGGATAGTGCACGCGTTCAACAAATTGAACGCTGCAGCGGTACCGGCTCAGACGCCGATACCGAGGAAGGACGTAATCATTGATGGTATGTCAAAGAGTACCATCTTTTCGTCCATGGATTTGATGGATGGCTTCTATCAAATCCTTATGCGAGAACGGGACATACCCTATACCGCAGTTAGCACGTCTAGCGGCATGCTCTGGGAATGGCTAGTAATGCCATAAGGGCTTAGTAATGCCCCTGCCACGTTCAACAGATGTGTATCACATCTGTTGAGACCAGTACGAGAATTCGCGCCGAGTTATTTCGATGACGTATTCATCCATAGTCGAGCTATGGGTGGGAATTCGGACGTGGAGGTTCACAGGTACCACGTCCGGCAGGTTCTTACAATCATGCGAAAGCATCAATTGTATGCAAACCTCAAGAAGTGTATATTTGCAGCAAGCGAAATACCACTTCTTGGGTGCATCGTTGGTAAAATGGTGTACATCCTGATCCCGAAAAGATCAAGGCGATCACCGACTGGCCTGTGCCGGTTGATGTCAAAGGTCATCGAAAATTCCTTGGGCTAGCGGCGTATTTGCATAACTATTCACGCAATTACGCCGAGATGACTGTGCACCTCTCTCGTTTGTTGAAAAAGAACGAGAGGTGGTTATGGAACGCTGAATGTCAACGCTCCTTTGAGGGTATCAAGCAGAGCTTGATACAATCCCCAGTCCTAGCAATTGCCGATCAGGACAGGCCATTTCATGTGGTCTGTGATGCCAGCGATTTCGCAATCGGCTGTGCATTAATGCAGTACGATCTTGAAGGCGTTGAAAGCGTCTTCTGCTATCAGTCGCGTCAGCTGCAACCAGCTGAGCGGAACTATCCAGTGCATGACAAGGAACTACTTGCCATGAAGTATGCACTCGCGAAGTTCAGAGTCTATCTATTAGGAGATAGACCCTTCATTGTTTACACTGACCATGCGTTATTACGCACGGCAGTGAACAGCCCGCACCTTTCACAACGAATGGCGCGCTGGATGTCATTCTTTGCAGAATACCACTTTACGGTCGAGTACAAACCAGGACGACTTAATGTCGTCGCTAATGCACTCTCACGTCGGCCCGACTTTGAACCAGTCGTGAAACCCAACAGTGAGACAGTCACTGTTGCGGTTATGACGTCCACCATGCCATCTTCAATGTTACATGATGATGTGAGGCGGGCGCATGCCCAAGATGGTGAGATTGTGAAGTTGTTGACACATCTCTCACAACCATCTCGAGAATTGATGAAACGATTATTGTCTGCGTATCAATCTGCATCAGATCGATACACTACTCGCAACGGGTTACTGTATTGTACAGCCGTTCCTGGTGACGCACCACGTGTTGTCATTCCAGATGATACTGATCTGCGTTTGCGGATCATGTTCGAGTATCACGATGCTCCTATAGGAGGACATCGTGGCCGCGAGAAAACATATCTCACGGTGAGTTGAGACTTTTACTGGCCCCGCCAGTATCAGTTTGTGCGAAAGTATGTTCGCGCATGCGAAGTCTGTCAACGAGTGAAGTCAAGTCCTTCACTGCGTGCACCTTTACAGCCTCTACCAGTTCCGGCTGAGTGCTGGGAATCCATCTCAATGGATTTCGTCTTCGGGTTACCCAAAGACGCACGCGGGAATACGGGTATTCTCGTATTTGTTGACAGATTCAGCAAAATGGTACACCTTGTGGCTGTACCAGAGACAATCACGGCAAGTGGCTGTGCTTGTGTCTTTATTTACACCATCTTCCGACTTCATGGGTTGCCCCGTGAACTCGTATCAGACAGAGATCCACGATTCACTGCTGATTTCTGGCGTTCCGTGTTCAAATCACTCGGAACGCGCTTGAAGATGTCGACATCTGATCATCCAGAGTCAGATGGTCAGACGGAACGTGCCAATCGTGTCCTTGAAGAGATACTTCGAGGATACGTACACTCCTTTAAGAGTTGGAGTGAGTTCTTGCCAATGGTATAGTTTGCCATTAACAACTCGGTGCATGCGTCCACGACACATACACCGTTTACGTGAATGTCATGCGCCATCCGGGTGTACCCACCTTACTCGAGTGTAACTCTGGTTTAAGGGGGGGAGGGACTCGCGCGAGCAAAAAACGATTTGGTTTTGACGCTCATCGCGCTCTGACGATGATGTCATTGCGTTTGATGCCGATATCGATAACATCGATGTCGAAGAAGATGATGCCAGTGAGAGCGCGGAAGCCCTCACTGAAGAAAGGTTGATGTTGCCGCAGTGCGCTCACAGCGCACTGAAGCTAACGAGTCATCAGATGAGTTCATACTGACTCGTATACGGTAGTCCGTTTTGTGCAAGACTCCATCGGCGAAGCGGTGGATAAGCAAAAGCAAAACGCTGACAAGAATGGAAGGGCAAACACTCTTTTATCTAATAAGGGTGACTTAGTCCTACTGTCTACGGTTAATCTACCAAAACATGTAGTGACTAACTTGGGTAGCAGTAAACTACTACCCAAGTACATCGGCCCATTTCGTGTATTGCACCGCCTAGGCAATGCATACACGATCGAACTGCCACGTGAGATGCGAACGCATCCCACGTTTTACGTTGGTCGGCTTAAGCCTTACCATCAGTACGCTGTTTCTTCCGATGAAGAACGCCCTTGCGCTCAAGCATCTCGCAGAGAGCCTTGTGCTCCCGATGGTGGGCATCAACAAGGGTCTGAAGAGCAGTTATCTCAGCCCGAGACCGATCAACAATCCCACGAGCTACCCTTAGCTCGTCACGAACAGATGTCAGAGCTCTCTCGCTCTCAAGCTGAGCAAAGGCAAACTCAGCTCGATGCTTCGAGACAGCGTCCGCCAGTTGGAGACGCCTGTCCCGCTCATGTTCGAGATCGCCGCGTAACCCTTGCGTTACGCGATCAAAGAAGCTCTCGGGAACACACGGATCCCCAAGATTGTGTGGAGAGCGTCTTTCCTCCTCCTCCACCTCCTTTAGAGGACTCTCGCGGTGGCCAGCGCTATCTGATTGAGCGGCTGTTGAACCACCGCGACTTGAACGGACGTTGGACGAGTTACCTCGTCCGGTGGCGCGGCTATCCCCCGTCCTGGGATACTTGGGAGCCCCGCTCCCAACTGATGATTGACGTACTGGGTCTGTTTGATGAATGCACAGAGCAATTTAATCAAGCAGCATGGTAGCACTTTGATCCAGCACCAAAAAGACAGAATTACAAGCAGAACGGAAATTCCATCATGACTACGCCTTGTTTAAGGCCATAGGCCAGTTGCGGGTGGCACTTTGCCCGAGCTCCTCTCCAATTGTGCTGGTAGCTGCAAGTCCAAATTAGGCGTGGCCCACTAACCCGCCTGCTGCTCCTCTCACTAAAGACAAGTGTGAGTTTTCGTGAGGTGCCCCCGAACGCAACGCTCAAAAACATCCATGGCGGATGTGCAATCTTGCCTAAGGTGTACCCCACCTTTCTATCAGTTCTTGAACTTGTCGTTACCCCGCTACTTCACCATATAATGGTATTGGACGTAACGACTAAGTCGTTGCAGTAAGCTATACACATTATATAGGGATTCTTTTGCTTGTCAAGAAACTCCGGTGGCGGCCGGTATGTCGTCTGAAGCCATCCGGATTTGGTTAACGAGGTGAACGGTCTTCGTAAGACTTTGATTTAAACCCAGAGTACGCTGGAGGGGTGCAAGACATCTTGCCGACGTTCAAAAAGAAAAAGATACCGACGGAGGCGCAACTTGACCTACTGATTGGATGCAGCAGCCCGCGACAAAATCAGCTTTAGCGGCGCTTGCGCCTCCTAATCAATTTCGAAGGAACCCCTATCCGGCTTGAGGAGAACAACCAAAAACACGGGTGTAAGCAATTTGCGCAGGAAGTTAATCGTATACACATGACTTTCTTTGAGACGACTGTAAATGGTCCTATGAATCGAGGAAATTGCTTCGTCTTTTACGGAGCAGACACTACATTTGTAGACAAATTATCAGCGTTTCGTATGACTTGTTCACCAACCTTACAACTTTAAATCCATCTTTCGTCTTTTGCATCCACTTGGCTATCACCCGTTGCGTCATGCACACGTCTTAAGGAAATTCATCGCATTGTTCTTAACGCGCTTATCTGTATTTAAACATTAGCAAGTCTGACATCAGCAAGCCTATCGGCCATCTCTCCTTCAGCAAGCCCTAAAATCACATAATGCAAGTGGTAATGGAACGCGGTGGTGGGGGGTGCATTCAAGTAGAGTGGAAAGTAGCCTTTCGAGGCATGGAAGGCATTAATCATGGTAAACTTAACGATTTAAAGCATTGGTCCTAAGGCCGAGGCGTATTAGCGCACACGCTGTGTAAAGAAGCCACAGCGGTTAATCCGATCAGTCTGACCATCGGTCTACGGATAATCCGCGATAGATATATCGAGTCTGGCGCCTAGCACCTCCAAGATGGGCTTCCAAAAGTTATCCGTCCTGCGAAATTTTCGATCCGGGACGATTGCCAATGGTATTTCTTGTTGCCGTAACACACGATCTATGAACAGCAAAGCTGGACCTTTAGCATTAGTCGAATCCGGTACAGCCGCATAGTGATCCTTTTGCTAACAAATTCGACACAGACCACAATACGTGTGTGGTAATCTCGAATCCTCTGGCAGGCAAACAGAAAGTCTATGCTGTTGGACTTTAAACACCTAGAGGCTACAGGAACTATTCAGCGGAGCAGTCGCATGAGCCGAGGGCTAGATCCATTAGTACGTTTCTCATGCGGTCACTTAAATAAATTTTTATCCATTTATAAAGTTTGGGCCTACACTTGAATCGAGTTACTAAGCCGCAGGTCTTTTCACAACCGATATGACCTCTAATCGATGTATCGTGGACCACAAAAAGGATTTAATACTTTTATTTTTTATCATATAGGCAATCACACGCAGGGTATCCGCAATATTCGTTCGATATCGCAGCAAGCTGCAATCGATAAAAATGTTGATGCAGCCTCGCACGCGAACATGTCGGCACTTTAAAGTCCGAGTCTTTAAGCTGATCACTTCCAAGAGAACATAGCAAAGCTGCACAATGTTCATCTTTGGCATAAGATGCACGGATTAGTTCGGTAATTGACGACGACAAAATCGTAGCATGAGCAAGCTAATAGTCAGGCAGTCGTGACAGTGCATCATCCTGTGCAATTTTTCCTGCCTGATTTGTACTTAAACTTGAAATTAGATTCTGCAGAAATTCAACATTCCGGCCATCCACAGCGATGGGTGAGGCGAGTGGGTCGCCGTAAAAAACACATGATCAGTGTAGACTACAAAAGACTAACATCTAAGCAAATGACCTTAATACTTGACCAAATCTCACTCAATAGCAAATTACCCGTTGTCGTAAGCTAGGTAGTTATTCTAGCAACTTAAGATGACGTGATATGAAAGAGAGGACGCGCTCGCGTCCCCTAACATATTTGCAATCGAGCATAGTCAATGGCAAAATCTGAAGCATCACAGATGACATTGAAAGGCCGATTATAATCTGTTAGGCCAAAATTGGGGCATCTAGGAGACTCTCCTTCACGGCTTCAAATAATCTGTCTTCGGTGCTAGTCCATTACCAATCCATCTTTTTTAAAGTAGTAATCATTGCTTTCGCCATATCATGCTAGTTCTCGCTATGATTGTTCAAGTAATTAGCAATGCCAAACCACTTGCGTTGATTCTTTTGGTTCCTAGGAACTGGGCAATCCAAGATGGTCTATACCTTTGCAGGATCCCTTCAAAGACCACGCTTCCCAATAAGGTATATAATAAATAGGATCTCGTTCACGTCGAAAGACGTAGGGACGCATTAGCATATATCTTATCAGTACGCATGCACTCGAGCACATCTCGTAATGACTTTTGAGTTTATCCGTGTCCGATCAACCCTGTTTCGCTCGACTACGGACAAAATGCCATCAAATAATGCTTGTGCATATGCTGAGTGGGACGAAACGCTTTGTCACCAGACGATTAAAGGAGGCGATGTGCAATCTCGCAATCAGCACGTACTTCAAGTGTGGTTAAAAACAGGCCGTTGCGGCTACTCCTTGAGCCGGGTCCGAATCCTATACCAGCTAAATCAAGCAAAAGATTTTACCTCAGTCTGCAGTGGCTATTATATCTCCTTTGTCTGTGGTGTCACCCAGTAAAATTAAACCAGCGAAAAGTTGGTACGACCTCATTGATTTTATCGTGTGAGACTTGGCTGCAGTTTACGATCCCATGTCGTCATCTTATCGCGGTGCTCAACGCGAATAAGGAACTGTTTGAGTTATCAGTTCCAACAGGTCAGTGCTACCAAGTCACTACTGGTTAAACGACCGTAGGTGCCAGCTGATTCCCGAGGATAACAATATTAAAACAACTAAGCTGTTCTACCAGCGAAACATATCCGTCAGGCGAGAATACCCACGAAAAGACGCATGAGATCGCAAGAGAAGAAGACAGCGAATGGGTGCGCTGACCGTACCAGTGTCGAAAGTGGAACAACATTGATGTTGACAACCGCGCGACCTTCCGCCTTGTTGAGGCCTAACATCGAAAAGTTATGTTACTCTCCTTATATTACATTGCGAATATATTTCTGTGACTTATGTGACTAAAGTTTTGTTGACTTGCCAATCGAGAACATATGCACCCAGGCAACGATCCCATTTAACTTTTTCGAAGCAAGCACTGGTCATCACTGTATGGGTGGCACGCTCTCTCACCACGATGAACTGGTCTGACTTCAAGGACTCACTCTATGGTCAACCTAGACTTGGGTGATCTGCACCAGACGCTTAATTTGTCCAGGCCCGAATGAGTACATGTACATGAAAAATGCTTCAAGCTCTCACGAGATACTGTTGGACACCCTCGTCGGAATCGAACCCACACTTCCAAGCACAAAACACAGGGGCATTAACCTTCGCTAGAGTGCATATCTCCTGATCGCTTATCGCACCGCTAAGATTGGTATCCTGTACCTACTGGTCACTGACGTAGTTTACGACTGTGTGATCAACTAAGGTATATCTGGATTTTCACAAATACTGTCAAATGCTGGCGAACTTTAAAATCATGTCACCTTCTGCAATTTCCTTATCATTACACATCTTATTATAAGAATCTAGTTGGTGCTTCATGAACTATCAGTATAAAATTAAGCGTACTTTCAGGTTTGTGAAGTGCTTTACACTACAGAGCTTAAAACTAATAAAATGTGCATTTTAGCTAATTTATTATGTTGGTTGTGCGGGATGCTCATATCAGGTCTCTCAGTAATGTAAAAAAACGCGTCGACCAAAGTTGTAGTAGGCCCGCTGTATTACCGAGAACGGTAAATATAGGACACCAGTGTTCAAACTATCATTATGTTCTTTATCGGTGAGTAGCGGGCGACAAATTAAGTTGGAGTGAAGAAGTTTTGGTCCGTAACATTGAGAAATGAGTCTAAATCGATAGAATTGATGTCAGCGCCACTCAGTAAGTAGAATGGCGGGAAGTGAGGGGTAAATCGCATGAAGACGAAATAAACGTATTTTGTTTTGATGTTTAAGGAAGTCTTTAACCATCTAAAGATTTCTTGGTTCGAGATGTACCCTATCGAAGACTTTATTGTGCCGTAAATTGGTTAGTGCGGGCTATCAAAAATGCTTAATCTATAATGTACTTTTGTTTCAGATTTACACCATATCGGAAGGTGCTGTTACATCGTTCGGGAACGATACTGAAACTAAAAATCAGGTTCGGAGAAGCTTAGTAGACGATAACATCCTAAGGATGGGCAGTAACATATGGAAGAGGGGGTTGTACTAAAGTGTACAGAGTTCAGTGCTTGAGTCAAACCTTTTTTTACAGAGAAGCAATGCAGTCCTTGCTTTATACTAAAGAGCTAATGAACCTTAAATGAGGTATGAAGTACCCGAAATCTGTTTACATCCATAAGACGACTAAAATGACTTCATACGATAAAAACTGAGTGAGTTTTCAGCAAAAAGCTAAAATGTACTTCACTCTATGCAAAACATGCGCAGACTTCAAAACGAAAACGCAAGACCTAAAAAATTTTAATATAGTGCGTTAAGATAATCATATAAGTCTTTACATGATTGTCGTAACTTTTAAGCAAAAAGTTTCGATCATGTCGCTACCACGC